AAATTTAAAATTTAAAAATGTTTAAATTTAAAAATTTGCAAAATTAAAATTAAAATTTATAAATTAAAATTTAAATTAAAAATTTAAAAAATAAAAATTTAAAATTAAAAAAATTCTTTCTCTGTTATTTAAATTATTTTTAGCAAAAAGTACTGAATTTATTTTTCCTTTCATTATTTTCACCAGCATCCACATTAGAATTTTCTTCTTCAAACAATAAAACTTGGCTAGCTACTTTTCGTCATTTTTTTTCCTCACAATGACACATCTCATTCTTCAGATGCCTAAGTATTTTGTATTTTTATTTTCATGTTGCTCAATGTTTTAATTATATTTCTTCTCTTCACTATTTTTATATTTGCAAACATTGAAGCTAATTATTTTTTATTTTATTTCATAGTCTTAAGAAATTTTAAATTATAGAATTTTAATCTGTTGTTAATATGTTGGAGAGTTATGTGAATTATTATTGCGTAGAGTATGTCAAATTTTAGTGATTTTTAAGTGCCTCTATCTTCCCAGATATTCACTTTGTCATTAAAAATGAGCTATGTTTTGTTGAATAATCACTTCCTTTTTTCAGTTTTTGCTTTATGTAGTTTCATAATATTTTTCTTGACCACTTATGCGGTTTTTTTCCTTATGGCTGTTTTTTCAAAGCCAGTATTTCCATTTGGTTCTTGTTTATAATTTTTATATTTATTTTACATATGTATTCATGAAGGGATGCCAAAGACCCTCTCCACTCTCCACAAATATGGCAGAGCTTTTGAAGTCTCCATATGGACAACTCAACTTCCAGATGCCCATTTCAAGTTTTTATCCAAGCTTTCTCAATGAACATCACTACAGTGTAAGATGCCTTGTTAAATAACAGCTACAGAATGATATTTACCATGAAAAAGAATGTTTGCCTTTTCCTGGGGACATAGCTCTAAGTCAGCCCAAATAAAGACAAGATTCTGTGCATAGGTTCGTTTTAAATTTATTTTTCCCAGAGAGTTGAAAGATAGGTCAAATAGTGCCATCAATTTTGGAATAAAAATGTTGCTTTCTGAAGAATACCAACCCTGTCACTCTTGATGGCTGTAAGATTGCTAGGTTTTATAACTACCAGGGGCTCCAAGTTCAATGATTTTCAAAACTAATGTGGAGCTGGAAGAAAATGACAGGAAAATATATATAAAAAAGCCTCTAATATTACTGTTTTGTGGAAGTATAACAATTCAGAGATTTTTATGTTTTGGTTCATTTTATAATTTCCTCAAAGACAATTTAAAACTGTTTGCCAGAATATTTTGTGTGTGTGTGTGTGTGTGGAGTGGTTTTCTAGTCGTCACAGTATATTTTCCAGTATGGAAGAAATTAAAATATGAACAGAAACCTAGGCAAAATAAGGTTGTGACCAGAGTGTAAAAGAATGCAAACAAGACTTGGTAACTCTGCCTTAGATACAGAGTACCTAAGTAGCAGGGGAAGTGACCCTTTTACTGCCTATGCTGCGTCATTGACATAAGGTATAGTCCATATGTTTTAAGTTTAGTAGTTTCCAAGTACTTTAAGGAGAAAGATACTATTAGTGCATTGATTCTTCTTATTCATGTAGCAGCTTTAGGGAGAGAATAAAGGGGAGTTTTAGAGTGTATGACCAAATTTAGGCTCTTAAAAGAGGATTTCAGACAATGTTTGTAATTATTAGATTTGCAGAAATAACTTTGTATAACTCTAATATACACATTTATACATATATGACAAAATGTATCTGCTTGATATATATAAAATAATTCAGTTTCTAACATTATACATATTTATATCTAGACAGGACACTGGTATGTAAGTTTACCTCCTCCATATATAATAAAATTGTACCTTTTATTTTTATCCAATAAAACCCTGGATTTCTTTTTTTCCCACTAAAATAATTTGTGATTCTCAACTAGCCAGTGTAACTACTTTAGAGAAGATGATTAAGTTTGAAAATTAATTACAATTATAATGTATTTATGATCCAGTAAAAGACATATTTAAAACATAGGGTGTTTTCAGCCCTGGAAATGTTTTTTTTAATAATTTGAAAATTATTAGATTTCTCACTTGAAGTAGTTTCAAATAATAAATAGCCAAATCAGCTAGGCTCCAACAAGATTTCACTTCTCTATTGAATTCATGTACTCTTAGCTCAGCGAAGCACAAAACAGCTAATGCCGTCACGTTTGAGAGGCTTTTATGCTGAATTTGACACAATAGCAATCACAGAGCAGACAAAAAAGGAATTTCTCTTTCAAAGGCTGAAAGGAGAAAAATAAATGAAAACTATGAGCCTGGCCAAATCGCTCTTGCCACCAGAAAAGAAAGTTCAATGTGATGAAGAAATAATTTTTTTTTCCTAGGAACTTACTGCCACGTTTGGACCAATGTTAGCTTGGTGAACAGGCTGTGAGCTCAACTGAGGTTGTAGGAAACGAAATAAATCCTAGGATGATCAGTGCTGGCCACCTCAGGTACCAAGGCATACTTGTTTCTTTTGAAAGTTCTAAATGCTATCATCAGTCATAGGATTCTGTTATGGCTTATTGTCAGGGATTTTGTAACAGAAATCTTGTATGCTTTTTTTCCCTGTAACATCTGGCTCTCTTAAAAAAAGAGCATTTATTTAACCAACTTTAAGAAGATCGAATGAAGAGATGTGATTAATAAAATAATCTGCTTTCTAAATGCATGTCTTTGTTTCAGAAAATTAATTCATTATGCAGCAGGGAGATAATGTGAAAATAGATATGGATAATTTTTCAAGACCTGCTAATTACTAATCATAGAATAGACCATCTGCAGTCTTTTTTTTTGTTTTTTTTTTTTGTTTTGTTTTGTTTTGTTGTGCTCAACCAGTGTTCTCCTACTGCTGTCTCCTTCTATTCTGACATGTTTTCCATGTTTTTTGTTTGTTTGTTTTGTTTATTGTTTGTTTTCCGAGACAAGGTTTCTCTACATGACAGTCATGGCTGTCCTAAAACTGGCTCTGTAAACCAGGCTGGCCTCAAACTCACATCCCTAGCACTGAGGTTAAAGGCATGTGCCAGGTTTTTAAGGTGGGCTTTCCCAAACCCCGTCTCATAAATGATTTCTACTATGTAAGTGTGGTATTATTTCTATAACTACTTCGCATTTATTTTTCTAAGCAAGAGGTGGAGAGTTTCAAAAGATCAAACCAGAGAGATAAAGATGAAACTTAGTGAAATGGTAGGAAGAATTAAAAATGATAATGACTAGAAATTAATTACAGAGTGATGAAAATCGTGCAACGACATTAAACTGAAAATTCAGAATTAAAAAATATAGATACTATTAGAAAAAATAAAGTATTTGTAGATAATAGCTAGAAGAGATTTGAGAGAATTAAACATTTAGAATCATTAATATATCTAGATTGCTAGGAATCCAGATAGTAGAATTCAAAGTATGGTGATTGCTTTAAAGCATCAAAATGATCATAGAGTTGTGCTAGCATTTGAAGTCATTCACTGCTGTTTACTAAGAGTAGACTGGGTCATTGTCAGGTACACGGGATCAAGGGAGGCTGTCAGCTATAACCACAGTTCCCCAACTCTGAAAAGGGCCTTACAAGGTCAGTAGGTTCTCCTGGCAATCTTAGGCACACAAATGTAGCAATAACTTATGAGGAGGGAGGTGCAGGTCAGATTATCCAGTATCTTCTCGTCTGTATTTCCAGACATTCTTTTAAAATGGAAATTGTAAGTGATAAGCCTGCCAACATTACTCACTAGTCATGAAAAGCAGGTATCTCCATTATTTGTTCCCCAACCTTGCATATATACATATATATTCTGGGTATAGGCAAAGATTTTATCTTCACAGCAGCTTAGATTCTTTAACAAAGTGGGTATAATGAAGACTGGCTAAAAGTTTATTAATCCCATTTAGTCTTCCTAAAATTAACTGGGGAAAAAAATCAGTGAGATATATATATATGTTCCCTTTATACCTTCTCTGATACCCACTCATTCCTTTCTCCAATTAAAGCTCTTTGTAAGGTAAGGAATGGGAGGTGGGATAGATCTATTTTCTAGGAAGGAATTGATGGCAGACATTAATTTAAATTCACACTACTGCAGAAGTATAGTAGGCATATCATCTTGGAAGTGCTCTTAAGAAATAGTACAGTGTAAAACCCAGGTCATGGGTAGGGAAACTGAACAACAGAGTGCTTGCCTAGCTTTCAGGAAGTCTTTAGTTCAATCCCCCACAGCAGAAATTTGGCATGGTAGCAAGGCACAGGCCTGTAATTTCTGCACTCAGGAAGCGAAGGCAGGAGGATCGGGAGCAGGCTATTTAAGAGCCTGTTTCAGTAAAACAAAACATAAACTAACAAACCACATATATACTATAAGATGAAAATCAGCTCGAAAGTTGCAAAAGGCTATCAGCTTTCCTCTAACCTGCATTATGTCTCAAAATTTGGAGCAGGTAGGTGTGGTGGCGCTCACCGGCAACCCCATCTTGAAGGAGCTTTTTCAATTTGAGACTGTCTCAAAAAGCAAGCAAGGAAACAAGCAGTCAAGCCAATTTCACTATTCATTTTTGTTTAAGTATTTTTTTTCATTAAAGCCATTAGCTTTTAATCTAAGGCATGATTGTATTTAACAAGGATTTTATTTTGAAAGTGATGTTCGACACTGACCTTGGTCTCTGTGATCTTCTTTTGGATTTCATCCATCGTGTGAGGACCCTCTTTCCATGAGTCAAGCTTGGCTCTAGCCTGTCCTATGATCTGTTCAGCTTCTTCCTTCGTCTCTAGCCACTGTGTTGAATCCTTTAACATTTCATCCAACTGTTGTCTCCGGTTCTGAAGGTGTTCTTGTACCTCATCCCACTGATTCTGAATTCTTTCAACTGGCATAAGAGGAAAAATAAACAGTAGTAAATACTTCTCTAGAGAAGACAGTTTAAACTTATCATAAAACTTCATTTCATATTTGCATTTCTCATTACAATATTTATGATGCTATGGGTATGATAATTAATAAAATTTCTTTGCTCAGATGGCAAATTTGATCTTCTATTAAATTATCATCGTGAAAGTAAATTAGAATATTGCTGCCATGGGTAGAAATATAATTTTATTCTTAGTTTCTAATACCAAAAAGAATTATGTCTTAGAAATGTTCTCTATGGCTTTGCCCTATTACTTATGCATTTGACTTGTGAGTATAAGAATCTTAATTTGGATGTCCCAAAGTCAGAGGCAAGATGGAAAACAGAGACAGAAAATTTTCTAGAGCTCGCTGGGTAGCTAGCCTATACTTCTTGGTGACATTTCAATTTAAAGAGAGACCTTGTCTCAAAAATGGTGGAAAACGCCTGAATTATGACTCTAGAAGTTGTCCACTGGCCTTCATGCTCAAATGAGAACAAGAGAAGACATTGAGTATATATATATATATATGCATTTAATAAGGGAATTTAGACAAATATACTTTATGCTCATGTAACTATGAAACAGATTTTCCACATCTTTCAATGCCCATAGAATGAAACCTCACCCATAAGCGATGGAATATTATTAGGATGATATGATTTCATAATTCTTATAGATAGCAAGAAATTTTTGGAACAGTATCTTTGCGTTTTCCTATTCTAATTATTTTTATGACGAATCTGTCAATAAAATGGACATTCTAAAGTAGATATATAAGGACCTGATTATGCCAGAGGACGTTCTTGTGAGCAGCACTTTGCATCTATGATTTAAGAGATACACTTTTTTCCTGCTAAGTGTATCTTTGCTAACTAACTGCACATTCAAATACCACTATTATAGACAAAGAGTTCTGCTGACCATCCTTTTTGCAGCCATAGACATGTATCAAATACTACTATGATTCATGTTTTAACTTTTCTCTCCCAGCCTATGGATACCTCACCAGCAAGAATAGGGCTTGTAATAGATACTGGAAGTAACCAATCTCTATACCCTTGGTACTTCTCGTAAGTACACATTAGCAAGCACTTACCGTGCTGTACTACAAAGCATGAAAAATTTCTCTTAGCGTGACCAGACTTGCAGGGACAATTAAGGAATAATAACAGTATTAAGGCACTGTCAGATAAGGGTTGGAAGAACATCACTCCTTGATCCCTGCCTTGTTGCTTGGGAGTGAAAATTATGAGAAGCCTGTTCCCTAGCCTCCGAGTTCCCTCAGTAATGTTGTACAACCATGGCAAAAAAACACAATAGCTTCCATAATAATCGACTCTTACAGTTTCTTTCCTTTCCCAAGCTTGATTCCACTCCCCTACAGGTAATTCTTTTGAACACCTTACAAATAAATACATTTTCCTCAAACTATCATTCCAAAGTTTGTTTCTTGAGAAACAGAGCCCAAATTGTTACTACTATAGTCATTTAAGAAATTAAGCTGGTTACACGACAGTTTAGTGGGTAAAGGCACATCCTTCCAAGCCTGATGATCAGAGTTCAAATCCCAGAACTTACATGATAGAGTCAATCTTATTGAAAAATTATCATTGTCCCTTTATTATGTCTCAGCTTTATATCTTTCCAAAAATGGCTTTAACTCCTATTTTATTGTCTTCGGTTGTACTCATAATTGCTATCGCATGCAATAAATGTTCTGTGAGATTGGTTTCTTTGGTTCTAAGTTAATTTGTAAGACTACACTTTAAAAAATCATTTCTATGGTTTTGTTACACTAATTTAATTTATATTAACCATATTTTTTTTGTGCAAAACTCACTCAAAATCAGGCTTGCTAGTAGAATGTCAAGATATGATATAAATTCCATAGACTAAAATGTATGGTAAACTCTTCTGTGGTGTTAAAGTCATTGATAAATTATTTTCTCCAATATTTTCAAATTAATTTCAGGTTACAAAGACTCATTTGCTATACCTTTTGCCTGTTTTAAATCGAATAATTGACAAAGTAATATAAAAATATTTTTTATATAAATTAATGCTATTTTAGATCTATTTTAAAGTTTAGAATCACATTAAAGTCTAGAAGCTAATAAGCACAAATAGTGTATTATTATTACTAACTAAATGCAATCTATGAATATTAGAACGACAGAAGAAACAGTAAACATATGAGAATTCATTTTGCAGAGCAGGAATTATAGAGTGAGTGTTGCTTTTACAAAATGACTCATAAGACTTTAGAGAACTAGTCAGTTTGTCAAATATATTCAAAATATTATTTGACTTGTAATTGTTACCAGATACACAGTCAACAGAAATGCAAACTTATTTATATTTACCAAAAGATTCATACTTTTCACTCCTCTTAAGTCAATAAATACAAATTTGTATCTATGTCTATCTATCTATCTATCTATCTATCTATCTATCTATCTATCTATGTTCTATCCATTACCTATCTTTCTATGATGATGTAGTGTATATGGAGGAGTGAGAGAGTTGGAACTATTTGCAATAATATGGAAAGACTGCAAAAATATAATTATTGAGGGGTACAAAAGTTAGTTACAATTGAGTAGATACTAAAATGCTGTTTTATTAAATGTAAGATGAAAAGTCAGGAAAGAATAGAAGATTATGGGACTCAGGCTAGTGGTTGCTCTTGTTGGATTAGTAGTTACTAGAATACATATGAAGGGCTCTGACAAGTTTCTGACAATATCCTCTTTCTAGATTTGTGTGGCATTTACACAGGGGTACTCAGTTTGTGACAGTTTGCCAATTCAGATGTTTATGCTAAATAAAGTTTTCATTATACATTGAAATGAACATATCATTTANTGTGTTTTTCCAAAAGTGGTGCAATATAGATTGGTTTGCTGAGTTTACAACACTGTTTAGGGATTAGATGTCTGTAGATAATGTTCAGTGGCACAAAAGCTTGCCTATCATACAGGAGCTCTTAGCCTGGTCCTCAGTACTACAAAAGGAGGATGTTTAGAAAATACTTACCAGACAGTGAACTAGATTAAACTCTCCATAAGAAACTAGAACATGAAGAGTAATCAGTTGTTCACCTATTGGGTAAAAAAGCTGGGCACTGCAGTAATCGCCAGAGAAGACCTTGCACAACCGTATGCAGAAAATTTTAGAAGCATTACAAATATTTCATCTTTTCAAGAGATGAAAGAAAGAAGGCATCAAATGTGATCCCTCATGTTCCCATCTCTACCCACCCCCCAGTCCACCCATGAAATCGCTTTTGTTTCCCTTTCCCAGGGAGATCAAAGCACTCCCCATTGCGTCCTCCTTACCTACCCTCTCTTGGTCTATGGATTATAGCATGGTTATCCTTTATTTGAAAGATGTAGTCCACCATGTTTTAGAGGGGGGAATACTGAAAGAGGCCACTCGAAAGGGAAGAGCACTCGGGGTAAGGTAGAAACCTGATAAATGGGAAACTCCCAGGTATCTACAATGAAAACCTCAGCTAAGATCCCAAGCAATAGGGGAATACATAGACAGAAAGGGCTCTCTCTTGTGACCAGGCAAGACTTCCAGTGGAGGGATGGAGATAGCAACCCACCCACATAACCTTTAGTCTTTCCTGCCTATGGGATGTGCTGGGGTAAGGGTGGCAGAGAGATGGTATGAGTGGCCAGTCAACTACTGTCCCAGCCTGGGACCCATGACATAAGAGTGAGCACTCACCCGACAGTGCCTGGAGCACGAGGACTCAGAGGCTGGATGGCCCAGAGACCTATTATAGAGTCGAACACAACTGGAGAAAAAGTGTCAAGGGAATTATGCCTAATGATATTCTGCTATGCTTATAGATTGGCGCCTAGCCCAGTTGTCGCCAGCTAAGCTTCATCCAGTTACTAATGGAAACATGCAGAGACCCACAGCCAACCATTAGGCCATAGTCAGGTAATCCTGCTGAAGAAAGGAAGGAAGGATAGTAGGAGCTATAGGGGTCAAGAATATAACAAGAAGGAAAAAAAAAACACAGAATCAGTTGAACTGCTCTCATAGTGCCTCACAGAGAGTGAACCAATGACCAGGGAACCTGGGTTAGTAAACTAGGGCCTCTGTATATATGTTACAGTTGTGTAACTTGGTCTTCTTGTGGGACTCCTAACAGTGGGAGTGGGGGCTGTTTCTGACTTGCTTACTGACTTTTGGGACCTTATTCCTCACACTGGGTTTTCTTTCTCAGTATTAATATGAGGGGAGGTGCTTAATCTTACTGTAACTTGATATATTCTGTCTTGCTTATATCCATGAAAGGTCTGACCTTTTCAGAATAGAAATGGAGGTGGGGAGGGACTGGGAGGAGAGAGGGAAGGAGAAACTGAAATAGGATGTAAAATGAATAGATAGATAAATAAATAACAAAAAAAACTTTTAAAAAGGAAATAAGGCATTAAATCTAAAGCTCATCGAAGTGAAGCTGTTATCCTGGAAATGGTTCAGTGTGGGAGTTGGACAGCATGCAGACATAGTAATTGTCCATAATGGGCCGCACTTCAAATTACAGAATTTTATTACACTTGCAACCCTTTCCCCACGAGATTGATTGATCAAAGATGTATTATGGCAATGCACTTGGTCACTAGAGCCCATACTGTTAGATTTACATTTACACCAGCTTCCACTGACATGCAAGAGTGAAATAATAATAAAATATATGCACATAAACCCAGGCAATCTGTGCATGTTTGTAATTGAAAATCAACCCAGATATCCACTTTTTTTTTTTTCTCGTAGAGGTCCATTGCAGAAAGCTTCTCAACTGATTTACACAGTAAAGAGATGCTGGCTAATGAAGGAAAGTAAATAACCAAAGCTACGACACAAGATGACAGACTGGGACACAGCATGTGTGCTGATTTACAGGTCTCTAGAAGTGTCAAATTGGAAACCCAGTAATCATGTTAAGGATCACAAT